CCCCCCCCCCCCCCAACTGCATCACCTGTGTTCCATGCTGAGCTCCACCCCCTCCCTCAGAGTAATTCCCTTCCCTTGTGGCATGGAGGTCATCGCTGTACCTTCTACAGAGGGTGTCCCTGACCTTCCAGGTCCTCTGGGTCCAGCTTCGGTTGTCCCTGACCTACCAGGTCCTCTGGGTCCAGCTTCGGTTGTCCCTGACCTACCAGGCCCTCTGGGTCCAGCTTCGGGTATCCCTGACCTACCAGGCGCTCTGGGTCCAGCTTAGGTTGTCCCTGACCTACCGGGTCCAGCTTCGGTTGTCCCTGACCTACCGGGTCCTCTGGGTCCAGCTTCGGTTGTCCCTGACCTACCAGGTCCTCTGGGTCCAGCTTCGGGTGTCCCTGACCTACCAGGTCTTCTGGGTCCAGCTTCGATTGTCCCTGACCTACCAGGTCCCCTTGGTCCAGCTTCGGTTGTCCCTGACCTACCAGGTCCTGTGGGTCCAGCTTTGGTTGTCCCTGACCTACCAGGTCCCCTTGGTCCAGCTTCGGTTGTCCCTGACCTACCAGGCCCTGTGGGTCCAGCTTTGGTTGTCCCTGACCTACCAGGTCCTCTGGGTCCAGCTTCGGGTGTCCTTAGACCTGTCAGGGATCTGAACGCTCCGTGTCGGTTCTGCTCTCCCGATACTTCTCTGAGCATTGATACCCCGTGTATGGCCTCTGGGACACACAGACCACCCTTATGTTGGGGGCAGTTTCTGGGGCCCCTGGCATCCAACATGTCCCTAAAGGTCTGGACACCTGGAAGATCTGGCTTCATCAGGGTCAGCGTTGGAGACGTTCTGCTACCTGTAGGCGATGTTCCTGGCTGGGAGGGTCCTCGGCGTGTCTGCTCTCAGGGGCTTTGTTATTACACCGGGAGTCCCCCCTTGTAGAAGCCTCGGTTGTTGGGCCCTCCATCTTCTCTCAGTCTGACTCGGCCCCTTTCTCTGCTGTTGCTGGTCTAGTTCTTGAGCAGACCAAGATGTCCGCCCCTGAGGACCAGGAGGCAGTTCCTAACTTCCTGGCAGGATTACTCAGTCTTTCTGTCTGGGAGTTAATATGAGCGTCTCTCTTCATCCCCAGGGGGGGCATTGGGGGGGTGGCACTAGGGGGGGCATTAGGGGGGGGTCCTTTCATTGCAGATTGGTGTCCAGTGCTGCATTCCGGAATGGGGGGTTCCCTCTACATTGTGGGGTTCTGCTTTGGGGGAAGGTCTCCTAGCTCAAGCACCGTGGGGCACCATGTAGGCACCGCTGTGTCCTCACCACCAGGAAGGGATAGGTGTCCTTCCGGTCAGAGGAATTGATTTGGTACCTGTGGTGGGGCCTCTGTCTCACCTGTGCTAATCCCCCGGAGACCAGTTTCTGAACATGGAGGAGCACTTCATGCACCAAGGAGCGTCTCAGACTCTGTGTTGCAGGACATCTGAGGAGGGCCCTGTGTCCCTCTGGGCGGTCTGTGGCCTGGACACACCAGTCTCCTGCTGCGGGTATCCTCTGACAGGAACAGGAAATGCCTCCATGACTTTGGGGAACCCATCCTCCTTCTTTGGCTGATTTGGAGCCTCCAGAAGAAGTTCCTTTGGACTTGTTGGTCTCCAGTTCTCTGTACTGATGAACTTCCCGTCCCTTCTCCGCATACACGTCTCTGCTCCACTGGGTCTGGGGCATTCCCGGCTCTGTGGCTCCTGAGGTCAGAGATACGCAGGATTGCTTTTTCTACAGAACGTCCCTTGGGATTCGCTCGGGAGGCTCCTCTTGTGTAGCTGCATTCTCGGCTCACTCTGGTTACATGACTCCCCACCAGTTATGGTGAAGTTCTGACTCCTCCCCCCACTTCCCCATGCTCCTCATCCCTGGAGTCAGGACTCCTTCCCCCATCGTTCCTCATTGGGTTGCTCCCCATGCTCCTCATCCCTGGAGTGAGGACTTCTTCCCCCATCGTTCCTCATTGGGTTGCTCCTCATCCCTTGAGTCAGGACTCCTTCCCCCATCGTTCCTCATTGGGTTGCTCCTCATCCCTGGAGTGAGGCCTTTTCCCCCCATTGTTCCTCATTGGGTTGCTCCCCATGCTCCTCATCCCTTGAGTCAGGACTCCTTCCCCCACCTGTCCCCATTGGGTTCCTCCCCATGCTCCTCATCCCTTGAGTCAGGACTCCTTCCCCCATCGTTCCTCATTGGGTTGCTCCCCATCCCTGGAGTGAGGACTTCTTCCCCCATCGTTCCTCATTGGGTTGCTCCTCATCCCTGGAGTCAGGACTCCTTCCCCCATCGGGTTGCTCCCCATGCCTGGAGTGAGGACTTCTTCCCCCATCGTTCCTCATTGGGTTGCTCCCCATCCCTGGAGTCAGGACTCCTTCCCCCACCTGTCCTCATTGGGTTGCTCCCCATCCCTTGAGTCAGGACTCCTTCCCCCATTGTTCCTCATTGGGTTGCTCCCCATGCCTGGAGTGAGGACTTCTTCCCCCATCGTTCCTCATTGGGTTACTCCCCATCCCTGGAGTCAGGACTCCTTCCCCACCTGTCCTCATTGGGTTGCTCCCCATGCCTGGAGTGAGGACTTCTTCCCCCACCTGTCCTCATTGGGTTGCTCTTCATCCCGGGAGTGAGGTCTTCTTCACCCATCGTTCCTCATTGGGTTACTCCCCATCCCTGGAGTCAGGACTCCTTCCCCCATCGTTCCTCATTGGGTTACTCCCCATCCCTGGAGTCAGGACTCCTTCCCCCATCGTTCCTCATTGGGTTACTCCCCATCCCTGGAGTCAGGACTCCTTCCCCCATCGTTCCTCATTGGGTTACTCCCCATCCCTGGAGTCAGGACTCCTTCCCCCATCGTTCCTCATTGGGTTACTCCCCATCCCTGGAGTCAGGACTCCTTCCCCCATCGTTCCTCATTGGGTTACTCCCCATCCCTGGAGTCAGGACTCCTTCCCCCATCGTTCCTCATTGGGTTACTCCCCATCCCTGGAGTCAGGACTCCTTCCCCCATCGTTCCTCATTGGGTTACTCCCCATCCCTGGAGTCAGGACTCCTTCCCCCATCGTTCCTCATTGGGTTACTCCCCATCCCTGGAGTCAGGACTCCTTCCCCCATCGTTCCTCATTGGGTTGCTCCCCATCCCTGGAGTCAGGACTCCTTCCCCCATCTGTCCTCATTGGGTTGCTCTTCATCCCGGGAGTGAGGTCTTCTTCACCCATCGTTCCTCATTGGGTTGCTCCCCATCCCTTGAGTCAGGACTCCTTCCCCCACCTGTCCTCATTGGGTTGCTCCCCATGCCTGGAGTGAGGACTTCTTCCCCCACCTGTCCTCATTGGGTTGCTCCTCATCCCTTGAGTCAGGCCGACTTTGTAGGGCCAAAGGGTGAATTCTGATAGGTTATTTCTGGTTGAATTCGGGGTTCTTCCCTGTGAAGCCTCGTTTGGTGAGGCGGCAGTGTATCTCCAGACGTGGACTTCCTGTTCTCTGATCACTATGGGGTCAGGTGTGTAGAATCTTAGGACCCGGTTCCTAGTCTGGACCTGTTCGTACTGAGGGTGTGACCCACGTTCCTTGATGACCGCTGCAGGTTTTGGGGCTTTGTCGTGTTTTCGGGGGGCTCGGGTTGATGATGATTTCACTGGGTGGAGCCATTCCTTGTGTGGTCACCAGAGGTCTCTTGGTCCTGGGGATCAGGTAGATTTTTGGGTCGGGGCCCCAGCCTCCGTGACCCCGGTGTAAGTTTTGGGTGTTGCCCCTTTAGGTGGCTCTCAAGCTGCAGCCGGTCCCCAGCTCCGTTTTCGTGGGGCCTGTTCACACTGTTGCTCACCCCTCAGTTGGACTTCTTTTGGATTTCCTGGCATTT